CTCGAGATGAAAAATCGGTACAGACGAACACACAGACACACAGACACACACACACACACACACACATAGACAACCTCTCGTCAATATGCGTTTTTTGCATTGCATAACTGCAAAAAAACGCATAAAAACAGTATAAAAGGAACCTGGATGAAATCACTTTGTTCTTGGACACGAGCTAGTGAACCACCAACTGGCTGTTCATCGAGTAATGCTTTACTTTGTGCTTCAGTCCAAAACAGATTTTCGGCGAGTTGCGTGAAAAGCTTCTCCCATTCTTCTTGTGCATTTAGTAAGCGTGCCCTGTAAATCCAGAATATAGCGTGGGAGAGCCACACAAAAAGTGGTCGAACAGAAGATGAATTGTAGTAAGCCATAGATAAATGGTGCACTTATCACAGAATTACAAAAAGATATCGGTTATTCGGTGAGGTACCTCATCGTGGTCTAAAAGTGGCAAAGTTACCGGTGGTGTGATGCTCAGCACATACTCAATAATTGGCCAACGCACGAGCTATCCGTGCGATGGTGCGTTTTTTGTATAGTTCCCCGCAGTTTTTGTAGCTACCGGCATCGGTTTTTTCGACCGATCCTTCTAGTTGAACAAATTAAGATTGATCACCAAAACTGGCAGGAAACAACCCTTTAAAATTTCAGCTTTTTAGATTTCCTGGCTCCTGAGTTAGCAATTTATTTGAAAAAATTTTTCACGAGCCAGCACTCGGGTACCACGCATACCCGATTCCTGGGTTTGAGCTCATTGAGACTTACTTGGACGGGGAACATCTTCCTAAAACTACAGTCTTTTAGCTTTACAGGTTCTCGAGCAATGAGCTTGCCCGAGAAAAACTTTGTTGAACCCGTGCGAAGGTACCACGCATGACCGAGGGCTGGGTTTGATCTCTTTGAGATTAATGTGGACGAGAAACACCCTCTTAATGTTACAGTCTTATAGCATCTCAGATCCCCCAGTTATGAACTTGCCCGGGAAAGTTTTGGCGGGCTCCTACGCGGGTACCACGCTTAACTGGGGGTTTGGGTTTGAGTTCATTAGTACCTACTTGGACGAGGAACATTCCCATAAAATTTCAGCTCCCTAGCTTTTCTGGTTCGCGAGTTAGCAGCTTACCTGTTAAAAACTTTGGCGGGCTCTTACGTGGGTACCATGAGGGAAAGACCGCCCATTTTGGGGGTGGGGGCCCGCACTTGCATGTAGATTAAGTCCCCAAAAATTTCTGCCCTGTAGTTTTTGTAGGTCTCGAGATGAAAAATCGGTACAGAGGCCCTGCGCACACACAGACACACACACACACACAGATAACTTCTCATCAATACGCTTTTTTCTCATTGCATAGCTGCAAAAAACGCATAGAAATGTCTCGAAATGGCTAGAGCGGTACTGAAATGCTTCTAAGCTGTAAGATCTTTGGGAAAATTTTTCTTTTCCAGTTACTCAGACTAATGCTGCGTCGTCTGGTTTTTTTTTTGTCGGTCAGCCTGTCTGCAATCTTGACATCTCTCTGGTTTCCCAGATTTTCCCAAAGATCTTACAGCTTAGAGCTTAAGATATTTGGGAAAATTTGGGAAACCAGAGAGATGTCAGGATTGCAGACAGGCTGACCGACCACCAGACGACGCAGCATTAGTCTGCGCAACTGGAAAAGTCCGTCATAAACATAGTGCGGGGGCACCGATGTGGATTACGGCTGATCAGAACATAAGAAGGTAGTCCGATTATCAAACAAGTACAGTGTAGCGACAGAAATTAAAATTTCATAGATGGCCTTACTCATAAACACCAGAGCTTGCATATCACCGTAAGCGTTATTCGCGAGGAAACTTCAGCATACAAGCACTTCACACATGGAGGATACACAGACTAGTACCACAGGCACAGCCCTCCTTAGAAGATATGCAGACTAGTTCGATGGAAACATTACAGGTATGTGAGATGGAAAAGTAGCAACCTGATAGCATCAGCAAGTCCAACAAGATGTCTCCACCGGATACTGACATGACTCAGTCGTTCGCCAAGTCGTTCCCGTTCTTTGGAATCCTCAACTCGATGTATCAGTTGCGAGCCCATATCTTCCACCGAACGAATGACATCCCGATGAGCATCCATATCAACTCGGACATTCTACAATTCGCCGTGATGAATGCAGTCAAAAAAGGAACTCAACAAATATCAAGCGCATGATCACAACAAAATAAATATCAAACGCGTGTAGGATAATTTTACAAATACAGATATCAACTAAAAAAAATCATTTCAAGCCCCTTCGATCAGTGTAGCAAAAAAAAAAAAAATTTCGACTCTTTCCAACTGCTGGTGTCTTTCTTTCAGCCAAATCCCGACTGAACCGAACAGCCGCAGCAAGGAGTGGCTAGATCGACTAGATTTTAGATGACCAATGAAGCAACAGATATACACAAGAACCTGAACACTTACTCATTCAGGTGATTGCAAATTGGTATGATACCATGAGGGGAATGGGTGCTAAAATTATTCATGTGAAAAATAAAATGCAAGGACTGAGAAGAAAAGTTTAGCTAAAGGAGAGCATATTAATCAGATGAGTGCAAATTTCAATAAACGTCCGGTTTTTGGGGAAAAAAGTGCGTGAATTAATGAAAAAATGTCTATTTTCTGCGAAAATATGTGAATTAATGAAAAATGATGTCTTTCAGGAAAAATGCATAAAATGATAAATAAATTATGTGTTCAGAAATATGTATGAATTAATGGAAAAAAAAATTCT